AGCCAATACTTCAAACTTGGACTAATGACCCCAAAGCACTTTCTGTCAAACTTCCGTCCATAATGGCCGTGAAAAATCTGAACTGGCAGCAATATTCACGGACTAAGTCAAGTGAACGAATTTGGCATAGCAATGGACATGATCTATTATAAAAGCGTAATCACATTGATTTTTGATAGTCACGTACGCCGTCGCGTCGTATACTGAATGGTTATATGGACGGGATATATTTATGGATTATCAGTGTGAATTGTTAGGCATGGTTGAGACGAAAGAAAATCTGGAGTATCGATGTCAAACGGGCTAAAGTTAAGGGTTTTTAGTGGGACAATCCCATCGTCTTTTACAGTCCTTAGATGCTCAAATAGTTTCCTCTAGAGTCTAGAAGACATGACACGATTGAGCAGACAAACAAAATCCGGGGTAGTGCTCCCTACTCAGACACTTTTTCCCTCGAGATGATGATGATGATGTTAGCATGTATCCATCACATCCTTTCGAAGGTTAAAGTCAAAGCTTGGGATCATTTCGTGGAGTCAATTACGGCGATGCGCCCGTTAATCCGTTGAGGGATACGTCAAAAGGGACCCCAGTAACAAGAGAATCCAACAGCCTCGACATTCACCCCCAAAAATATTATTATAACATTAGAGCAAAACCCTAATGAAAGGAAGCAAGCAGACAAGACAATCGGTTTTCTAGTTGCCCGATTTTATTCGTGTGCTCGCAATTCTATAATGCACTGACTTTATTTTTGTCTCGACTTCATTAACTGACCCTTTTTTGACATTTAGTTTATCGATAATGATATATTCTTGATGCGTCTTTAAGGAATACAACGACGGATAGTAAGTTAAAACATGATTCAAGATCACATAATTTAATCTCTCTATTTTTGCTTCTTTTTATTTTTGGGTAAGCTTAGAGATACGAAGTTATGGGTGTTTGGTTCTAGCAAATAGTTGGCCAAAAAGAATAGATCTTGTTTCGAGATACGCTAGGATTGAGGACAGAAAATTTCTTAGGAACGAAATCATGACCACATCAGACCAAAAAAAAAAAAATCATGACCACATGTGCAGCTTGAAGTACACAAGTGATGCCAACTTTTTAGTTTTTTACAGTCAATTTCAATATGGAACTTCACGTATTTGCTGTTCATGCAATGTCAAACTAGGGTTTTCGTTTTCGTTTTACGTGTCGAAAGGACGATGTATTCCTGTCACACAAGTCAACTCTCGTTGACAAGTTGGATAAATCCACAATCGATATACGAGCTTGGATTCATTGCCAGTTGGCTATCAGCATTGCACCGAACGAATCTAATGTATCCATTTGTTTCTGGAATAGTAAATGATAAAAAAAATTTGCTTATTTGGTTTGAAATAATTAGTCAGTAAATTTTTTTTTATTATAGATAAAAATTGTGTCTAAATATTTTTGTGAGCCATGAAAATATTTTATTTTTATTTTTTTATAAGCAATACAAACGATCTTTTTTAGGAACACGTTTTCCAAATTATTCATTTTTCGCGAAATAAATTGTGCTGAAGTGAAATATTTTGAGTTGAAATATTGAAACTTGTGCATGAAATCCACTTTTAAGTTTTAGGAGACTATGACTAGTTAAAAGGAGATTAAGCAAGTCCTTAAAGGTTAAATCCAACTATTTTATTTGCAAGACAAATCGAAATAATGTCATTGAAAGCAGCTTCCTTCTTCATTCGAATGCATATGCATATCCATTTACTTGCTCCTTCCTATTTATGTATCATCTTTCTTTTTTTGAAAACTCACAGAAATGAACTTTGATGAATTTAGGGTTTTGATTATATAGGTTGTTTCGGGACTATACCTCTTAATGTCATGTCACTATTCATTGAATATATTATATGAAGATATACTCATGTATTGAATTTAAGAAATTGAGGGTAGAATTGGCATTTCTCGTGATAATGCTCTAAAAACTCCTTCAATTTGGTCACGAACATAAATATGATTTTATGAATGATCCTCAACAAAAGTTACGTAAAATTCCGTCTCTTAATTGGGTGAAAATTGAGAAAATCCCTTTTATTAATGTTTTGTTTGTTTTCCCGTGACCTTTTATTCATGTTTAAAACACATTCTTTTTGGCAAATTGCAAGATATTAATCAAAACTTTTAACCGCTTCGTTGGCAAGGAAGAGATGGAACTCATATCCGCATCACAATCTTCCGTTCAGAGTAACTTTTAAATGTCAGGAAAAAAATTACCAAAAAAGTAATAAATATATTACACTTGTACCAATTCAGTCTTTTACTTTTTTAATTTGGTAGTCCTAAACCTTTAAATTGTCAATTGAGTCATTCTGTCTAATTTTGGCCGGAAATTATTGACGTGTGCGCCGGCCGTTCTACATAGCACAACTGATACTAATGTAGACGATTTTTACAATTTTTTTTAAAAGTTGATTTCTTTTATTATTTTTTCTTTCCTTCTTTTTCCTTTCATTCTCGCTCCTAGGTCCTCGTCAATCATTGGCGAGGCGGGCCCAAGGCCTTCGCTTGCGGCCGGCGAGGCCGCAATTACCCTGCGCATGCCATCATTGCCTCATCAGCCGCGGTAGAGCGAAGGCCCTCACCTAGGGCCATCGCAGCCTCGCCAAACACGGGCACGAAGGCCTTGCTTAGGGCCATTGTGGCCCCACCAGCTGCAAGCGAGGCAACCCTCCCCCAAATCTAGGCAAGGCCTTTGCACCCTTACCCTTGGCCAGTGAGGCCACGATGGTCTTTCCTTGGGTAGACCTTCTCTGCAACCTGCTAGGCCCTCACTTGGCCGGCCACAGTGAAAAAAAATATTTCAAAATTTTTTTAAAGAATTGTCCACATCAGTGTTGGCCATGTCTCGCAGGATCACTGGCGTCTACATTAGCAATTTCCAATCAAAATTGGCCGGAATGATTAAATTAGCAATTTGTCAAAAGGTTTAGAACTAAAGTGGTACAAGTACAATAGGAGGACTTTTATGGTAATTTCCCTTAAGTGACATGTCTTTCTGTCTTTAATAATATCTTATCTGATGCTTTGAAGTTGCAATTGTGAACAAAACAGTTCCCTTATCTCTCGATCTATGTACCTAATACAAATGTGCCACATTACTTAATAACTCGATTTCGTGAACCATCATACTTAATATCTCGAACATTCCTCCATCTTATAATTTCATAGGACCACAACTTGGCAAGGCACAACATCTAGGGCAAGTAGGACCAAACTAGAGCTAGAAGTGTGATGGAGCAACATTCAAATCTCCAAAAGTTGTGTCTCGATTGCGGACCACAATCATGCTAAAAAAGTAAACATATTAAAGTCGCACGCTCATCGCCATTGGCAATAGTGGGATTATGCCCGAACAAGTTTTCCTTTCTGCACTAACTGCCCTCGTTTGACGATCGTGGGTCGGCTAAGACCGAAAGCGTGCCCACGACACTCCCCTTCCCTACCTACCCACCCATCGAGTTAGTGAGGGAGTGCGAAATCATCGTGCTCGTTGGGACCTCATCTTTCTGCATGCCGCTTCACTTTTTGGAATTGTGAAGGTGTTCTTGAGGTACTTACAATTGATACGCGCATCTTTTGAATGATGAATATGTTATCTTGTCGTCCGTGAAACTTGTTCCATTCTACTTAATCCCATTTATGCACTTGGCGAAGAGAAGTCAGGCGGTTTAGGGTTCCAGGACCATGCGACTGTATCGAGATCGTCCATTCGAATTTCGATACGCATCTGAGTTGGTACTTTAAACCACGAGATGCTTAGATTGAATCATCGATACCATCATTCTAGAGAAAAGAATGAAGTTTCGAAATGCAAAATCTAATTATTCGGTCTGGGACCATCTGGTTCCTTGAATTGACTTGGTCGAGAAATGGATTTATACGTGAGTGAATTAGGTGCCCGACACAGATTATAAGGGCAAATGTTCTCGCTGTTGAGTCGCATACTGAGAGCTAAGGGAGCTATATGATTTGGCTCGATCGTTTCTCGTTATTAAAGAGATGCAAAGAAGGGAAAAGACAGTTGCCAACATGAAGAGTGGCCCTTAGAAAGAGAAGATACAGTATGAATGAAGGGAAGGGTCAATGGTTCCGGTGCACGGTCGACACAGCACTAAGCCAGCCGCAAATTAAAGCGCATGAAAATGGCCGGCCGTGCTACGATTTCCTACCGCACGCTTGATTGCTACTCATTGCAGGCAATTTCTCACTTCGGATGAGCTCGATTTACTAACATGGCCTTGCTGTCTCGGCCTCCGACCGCACTTGTTTACTAACGTAGAGATATGGTTCATACTCTCCATCGATAAAAATGCACAAGGGGTCCATGAATATCTATTGGATATATATAATCTATTTCTCTTGTAGTTAAGGATTGTAATAGAGAGGTGAGAAGTACTAATTATAGTGAAATTCTCTATTGGATGTAGTCCTAGTTTAAAGGTAGATCAGAATAAACCTTACGTCTCGATTTCTCTTTCTCGCATTTACTCTCTATTTCATTGTGTTTGTGTGCCTAATTCTAACAACTTACAAGTAAGACGAAACCCGTCGATCAGGAGTTGGCAAGAGGGCATTCTCTCTTACTAGGGATGGAGGAAAACAGAGTTGTATGCTCATAAAAGATGTGCATATAAGATAAGTATGAACAGTCAAGATAAATCGAGACATTTGCTAGAGCACATCGCGAGGTAGAGAATTCGTTCCACCGGTCATTAGCGAAAGCGTTGAGTTTATATAAATCCGATCATTTTCATAAACCATATAGTACGCACATCATGGTAACTAAATTCAAAAGTGGCGATGTTCCGAACCGCACATCAAGGCAACGACGGAGGAGTCTGCTTGGGGCTACAATGACTTTCCCCAATCTTACATTTGTTTGATTGATGGATTACAATTCATGGACATGGCCGAAAATATAAAGTTAACATGGCCCCTTTTGTCAAACAGGGATGGCATTTTCGTTATTGACGCTCAAACATGCGTGGTTTATCTGTCATCAAGCCACAAAACAGAGCCTTAAAAAACCTTCACGAACTCTCAATCGCTCCATCACACTCCGCTCCAAAAGACCAACGCAACACAAAACGCCGGAAATTCTCAACGAAAAACAAAACCAAACACCCGCAAACCATGCAATCCCAACCATCCCCCCGCCTCCTCCTCCTCCTCCTCCTCCTCCTCGCCACGCTCTTCCTCTCCCACCAAACACCGGTCCCGGCCGCCGGATCCACCGCGCCCGCCCCTGCTGACGGCTCGGATTTCATCCGCGCCAGCTGCAACGTCACCCTGTACCCGGACGTCTGCTACGCCACCCTCGTCCGCTACGCCGCCTCGGTGCACGGCGACCCGGCCCGCCTCGCCCGGGCCGCCATCGCCGTGAGCCTGGCCAGGGCCCGGCGCGTGGCCGAGTACGTGTCCAACCTCTCCCGGGAGGCCGACTACGGGGCCGACCGGCGGGCAGCGGCGGCGCTGCACGACTGCTCCGAGAACTTCGGGGACGCGGCGGACGAGATGCGGGGCTCGCTGAAGCAGATGCGGCAGCTCGGGGCGGCGGGGAGCGGGGAGCAGTCGTTCCGGTTCCAGATGAGCAACGTGCAGACGTGGATGAGCGCCGCCCTGACGGACGAGGAGACGTGCACGGACGGGTTCGAGGACGTGGCCGACGGGCCGGTGAAGGCCGGGGTGTGCGACCGGGCCGGGGCGGTGAAGAAGGTGACGAGCAACGCCCTGGCCCTGGTCAACAGTTACGTGAACAACCAGGCTGGCCCTTGATGGCTCAGATGGGGAGAAGAGCGTGTGTGAATTGGTCTTTTTTCCTTCTTTCTTTTGTCCTTCTTCTTCGTAGGGAGAAGAGGAAAGTTAGTGACTCGTAAGACGGTGAGAATTAGGTTTAAGTGGTTAACTGGTGTTTTTATGTAACAAAGTTGAAGCTACGTTTTTGCTTCTAGACCAAGACTATGTAATCCGAGACTGACGGAGATGTATTGTATAATTGAGTGAGAGAGCTGAATTGTAAATTTTTGGCGTGCCAGTTTTCGTTTTTTTTTTTCCTTTAAATGGTTCGGATGGCCGGGGTTTTCGATCGCCCCATTGATCTTGATTGGATGCGGTAATTCTCCGATCTCACACGAATTAGGTAGTAACGAGAAGTTATTGTGTGTAGGCTCAGCCAATGGGGACGACGGTATTAGTGTACGTAGACTAGGTCTAGTGTAATATTATCTTCGGTAGTGACTAATGGGCGAAGCACGTGTGGACGTTGTTCGAGGTGCACTGATGTGATGATTCGAACACGAGTTGAAAAGATAAGAATGCTTGTTACTTTAGTAGCCTTTACTGGGAATACTTTTTATCTCTCGTGATGTAAACGGAAGGAAAGCAATAGAACGTTGATTTTTGCTTTGGGCCTGCAGTTTCCGCAATCTCGGAGATTTCCTCGTGACGATCTTCTGATTGGTGGTTTACGGTTACGTCGCTCGAGTTTGAATTAAATTTGGGTGTGAGTCATATTTACAACTTGTACCCCACCAATAAGAGAAATATTGATTACGAACGTTGGGACATAGTCACACATGATTGAACCAAGTATGTTGATATGCAAGGGGTTGCTTTGTTTTTCTTCTTTTACTATTCCTCCGCCCCTAAGAATTAGGGGTGAGCAAGATGGACCACCCAAACCGGGATCGGACCGGACCGACCGGTTTGGTCCGGTTCTCGGGAATATCGGTCCGGTTCCCGGTTCTTAAAAGTGGAACCAGTTTCCGAGCGGTCCGATTCCCAGTTCTAGGGTGGGAACCGGACCGGACCAATAAATATATATTTTTTAATTTTTTCATATATATAATATATATGAAAAATATTTAATATTGGTCCCATCGGAACCGATAGTTCAATTTTTTCATATATTATATATATTTTTCCAATTTTTTCCATGACCTTATGGGATCAAATCAGAACTAGAAAGAATGGAACAATCGATTCTCAGTTCACAAATAATATTTAATATTTGTCCCATTGGAACCGGACCGAACCTGACCGGACCATCGATCCGGTCCGGTCCTCGGTCCTAGAAATTGGGAACCGGTCCTCCCGGTCCGGTTCCCGATTCTTGGGTTGGACCGGACTGGATCGGGAACCGCTCACCCCTACTAAGAATGCTATGTAAGAAGAAACTATCTACATTTCCTATATTTAGTAGTTCCACCTGCATATTAAATTTAGGATTTTTTTAAGCACCCGTTAAACATCTAAATAAAGAGAAAAGTGTCAAAAAAGTCTTAAACCTTTTGTATTTGTGCCAATTTAGTCCTAAACCTTTTTTTTGTGCCAATTCAGTCCTAAATCTTTTGTATTTGTGCCAATTGAGTCCTAAACCTTTTTTTGGTGCAAATTCAGTCCTAAACCTAATAGCTATTCACGTGTCAAATGACTAAATTGGTATCAATGCAAAAGGTTTATGACTTTTTTGACACTTTTCCCTCTAAATAAAAGATTATGATTTCCAAAATATTATCTTTCTCGTAAACGCAAATGTTTCAATACTAGATATGGTTAATAATACCTGGGGCACTGATTAATAAGATCCTCAAATTTCCAAGAAAAATTACACAAAAACTCCTCTGAACTTTCATAATGGCACGCCTTTGTCCTTAAACTTTCAACCGTTACAAAAACCTTTTTTGAAGTTTCCTATTGTAACAATGGTCGACCGTCCATCCATTTTTCTATTTGCACTTGCCCAACATGTCGGCGGCCCGTGCATGTCCTATTGCAATTAAGGTCGTGAACAGAGTCTGCATATCAATAGATTACTTTCCAAATCGAAACCATCGTAGCTTCAAAATACAACTAATACGCCGGTTTCTCACACTGCCCGTGATATGGCTGCGACGGACCCGTGTCACAGCAGCGACTGACCCTCCATCACCCCCATAGTGTATATACTAAACTTAATCTGTCCTATCAGACTTGATGGAATTAACTTGAGACCCATCATGTTCAACGATTCATATTCAGTTTCGTATATACAATAAGCTCGCGTATTAATTTCTGTATACCTCAACATCCCTGATGATGTTTGAGATTCCTTTATTGGGATATTTACAAAATATATCTCGGGAAAACATAAAAAAAAAAATAAAGATTCCAAACATATCTAGTTGGATCCTTACTTTCACGTTAAAGTTTAAGATGGTGTGTTGTGAGTCAATTACATACATTTTGATTTTTCAGAAAATTAAACCTAAAAGTTCTGAACATTTTGCACTGTAAGACTAGATTGCACCTTGAGCCGAACACTTTGGACCTTTTTTTTTATAACCCGGGCGGACAACCATATCGCTAAGATACCTCGAGGAGAACTAGCACCGCAAACCCGTGCTTAAGATGCAATCTTCCCTTTGTTTCTCTGCGGGCTCTCTGTCTTTAAATTGCTCGCGTGCAACTTATAAGGGATTGGCTAAGCGATTAAGTGCTCGATTAGAATTTAGCAAATGAAACTTTTCCCTGCACCTCAACATAACTGTCCATCGCTCCGTCGAAACGATGTGGATTTCCGCATAAAGTAAAAGATACTTCGGGTCTGAAGTCCCATCCAATTCAAGGTGGAAAAATAGATAAAAATGAAGATGCTAAAAGGAGGCGGGTTTTGTGACAGCTCTTGAAAGCAGACTCCCGGTTGCTATTGATGATATCTGGCCTAGAGATTACCCGTCGCGAATGCGGATACAACTGGTTGAAGAATCACGATTGACTCCTAATTCATTTGAATTGAAGCTGGAGGTTACAGCACATACACAGACGAAAAGAATCTGATTCAAATAGATTATGGAGAAGAACATGCGTCCTTGTGGAATACGGGTAGATTATTTAATAGAGGACCCTTGCAATCAAGAGAGCCAGACTAATAAAATCATTATGTGATGTACAATTATTCGACAGAAAGGAGGATCTAGGCCCCACGTTAACAACAATGGGGTTGATCATCGTGGAAATGTGCAAGCACATTTTTCCTTCAATTATATCCTTTCGTTAGTTGGGTGTTTAAAAGAACCGTGATTGTTGGTATGGCACGGTTATGCGCTCTTTCGATTTTATTATTCGGCACACGATGCGATATGATTTGCGCAGACGACAGTCCACGGAGCTATGGAAACGAGACTAACTATAAAAAGATATGTGTCCCAACCCGATTCAATACGGTATGGAGAATATGCGTCCGTGCGAAATGCGGGTAGATGTTTAATGGGGGATTTTCACAATCGAAAGAGCAAGAACAATAAAATTATTATTATGCGGATCCATTTATTTAACGAGTAATTATTGAGGCAGGACAGGAGGGTCCAGGCCTGACTTTATGAGAATGCGTTATAATTGTCCTGCATGGCTCTTTTTTATTTATTAATTCAACGAACTTAGGGCAATAATGAACATGCTTTTTCTTTAATTTTTGCCACCTAAAAGAAGGAGGATATTCTGTGGGAATTCACACTAATTTGATTAGCACGTGTTTGAGTGGAGACTATTCAATTGGAGAGGATCAATTGTGCCAATTTAGTTCTAAACCTTTTGATATTTGTTAATTTAGTCCTAAACATTGTGTAGTCCTTATGGTCAAATATCCAAATAATAGGTTTTCAACTAAATTGGCAAATCTTCAAAAAGTTTATGACTAAATTGATACAAAAAAATGTTTAGGACTAAATTGGCAAATTTTCAAAAGGCGTAGGACTAAATTGGCACAATCAAAAGGTTTGGGACTGCATTGGCCTTTGTACAATAGGTTTAGGACTTTTTGGACAATTATCCCACAATTTATGTCTCAACATCTTTGTTGATGTTGAAAAAAAAATTTCCATTCATTAATTTTTCTAAATGATATAAACAATTATTTTTAGGAAAATGTTTTACAAATCGTTACTGTCCCATGAAACAAACACATCATAAGTGAAGTACTCTCGATACAAAACGTGGAAAGGCATCTATCGGCCATCTTGCCCCGAACCTGCCCCCGACCTAAAGGGTTCGATATAATATGTCTAAGATTTCGAGTGTTCCTCATTAGTTCACGAACGCGATTTAGGTAACATTCATAAAATATGTAATTACATCTATCTAACGACTAAAATTTTGAGTTAGATGAGATCCTTAAACATGAGATGGGAACCACATTCTCCTTTTGAGCAGAGACGTGTTCGCCCAATGCAAGCCCGTACTAGGGCCAGATCTTAGCCCAAGTGCACGACAGCATGAGCAACCAGAAACGACTCGTGGTGTTGGAAAGAGATCGTGTCATTTCATGTTTGCTGTCATGCTGCGAACGCCATAATAAAGCAAAAATTAGAATGAGAGAGACCCAAGAATCATTATGTATTGGACAATCGATTTTGGTAAGTTTTGATGAAGAGACAAAGAGCAACATGTGAACATGAAGAGTGATGTTTTGCTGCAGATGGTAAGAGAGAAGAAGAAGCTAAGTTCAGCGTACAAGACGCACGAGAGTCGTTGTCGATGTATGCGCAAGAAAACATACAACAGATGAAGCGCAAGAAAACATAGAACAGACGATATAAAATCACGAGATCTCGAATTATTGGTCTCATCTCCTGTATATTGGGGTCCCTGATAACAGCTGGTTCCGACCCGAAAAATCGGCAGAATGTCTGTGTTTTCTTACCATAATCTGAAATTTGTTATCGCATGATGGTCGGGGCGAAATCCATCTGTCCGCTCATAAAGGGGACACATGTTTAGACATTAGGACGATGACTAAGAGTTCGTGTGACTGCTATGGGAATTTACTCTAATTACCAGCACAATCCATATATGCTCACTGAAAAATTAAGGGGTTAACTGGTTTCCACGCTACAACTCTTCCGGGCATTCAAGTTCGAAGCCTATTCCCCCATGTTATTCACTAATCTTAGCTTGCAACAGCGATTCCCTTTCCCGATTATAGCACGACCCCGTACAATCTATACAATGCTAAACACAGAGAACTTATGGTTGTATCGCCTTT